TAGGACTAAATCTAGAAAATCACCATAGTTGAGGACTAAATTGGGTATTAACTCCCTCCAAAAATATTAAATCAAGATTTCTAAGTGAAGGGTATCGCATTCTCTCCAAAAGTATTACTCCGTAAAAGATTATTTTCTTTCATGTGTGTATTTTTTTTAGTTTGTGTAAATTGTATTTTTTAGAATGAATTTGGCATTATATGCACATAGTCATTTATGTAGTTGTTTTATAAATTTATACCATTAAAGTTCCTTGTAGTGCTAGGGTCTAAATCCATTTTATTTCCATTCGTTTTTTCCAGTAACTGGGAGAGTAACTACGAAGGTAGATGTATTTAGTTTTGGTGTGATCTTGATGGAACTGATCACGGGCAGAAAGGCTCTCGACGAGAGCCAACCCGAGGAGAGCATGCATCTCGTGACATGGTTCCGAAGGATGTACTTAAACAAGGACACCTTCCATAAGGCAATCGACCCGACCCTTGATCTCGACGAGGAAACGCTCGCTAGCATCAGCACCGTAGCTGAGCTTGCTGGGCACTGCTGTGCGAGGGAGCCATATCAAAGGCCCGACATGGGTCACGTGGTCAACGTCCTTTCTTCTTTGGTCGAGCTTTGGAGGCCCTCGGAGCAGAGCTCATCAGACGACATTTATGGCACTGACCTAGACATGTCCCTGCCACAGGCACTAAAGAAATGGCAGGCGTATGAAGGTACGAGCCAGCTCGACGACTCCTCGTCTTCTTCGTATCTTCCTAGCTTGGACAACACCCAAACGAGCATACCTACCCGACCATATGGATTCGCCGATTCATTCACATCTGCAGATGGCAGGTGATCGAGGAGTCGTTACGTTATGTTTCGCTGTTCATTCTCTCTCGTGTGATAATGTAATCTCATATGTCTCTTGTATTTCCTTCCCTGTCTACTTTTTTGGCCGCTTAACTTTAGTGTTCCATTAGTGCAGAATGGTATTTGGACATGATTAACTCATTCATGGAGTTTTGTTAATGTTGTGCAAAAAATTTCTCTAGCTAGCATGAGTAATCTGTTGACTCCCAACACCCCCTTCCCCTCAAACTCTTCATTACTCTCATTTTTTAGCAATATACCAGTATACCACCCAGTATTCCCACTGTCTGGTGGAAGGCCGGTGAAGGGTTAAGTCTAACACCAGGTGGATAAGGGGATTTGTGGAACAGGGCCGATAAACGGATAAAGGGGCCATGTTTAGTATCTGGTGGCTCGGGAATTGTTTGGCGGAGGCTTGTAAAGTCTTTAAGGGCTAAGTCCAGCACCCACCTGTCTCGAAAAATGTGATGGCAATCTATAAGGAAGGAAATAAAGTTGTGCCTTCCCTACTAGCTTTTGGTGTGAGCGGTAACCGCTTGATCCTAACAAGTGGTGTCAAATTCCCAGCAATAACAATTAAAATTGGTTTGCTGGGAGGGGGGAATTGTTGGGCGGCGCCGGTAAAGGGGCCATGTCTAATACCTGATGGTTAGGGGATTGTTGGGCGGAGGCCGGTAAAGCCCCTAAGGGCCAAGTCCAGCACCCAGCCCGTTTCAAACAATGTGATGATGATCTATAAGTAAAGAAGTAAAGTTGGGATTTCACTACTAGCTATAGCTTTTGGCGTGAGTGGTAAGCCTTTGATCCTAATAGGATTGTTAGACCGTGGCCTAAATGGTCAAATCTAGCACCTTATCTTTAGAAAATGTGACGGTATATAAGAAAATAAAATTGTGTCCTCGCTACTAGCTATAACTTTAAATTGACATAGTGATAAGCGTTTGTTCCTAACAAAAGGATAGCAACCCGCTTACCAACTATTTTAAATCTTTATGAATTATGATTCCACACATTTTCAATGTGGCTGCACTAGGTATATTTTTCTAGGAAAAAGATGAAGTAGGCAGTTGGGCATTATGTGCACAGGGACCACACGTCCTCCATTAATTATCTGTTGTTATTTTCACAGTTTTTTGCACTTTTGCGCATGAAAACATCATGCACCATTAACACGTACTGCTCATATTATGGGCTGGGGAATATGTAATCTCACACGTTAATATACATTTGAGACAACATAAAGTGGTACGATAATAGTGATTTCCAGCTTTGCTTTCGATAAGGCCGGATTGGTATTTTAGTCATAGATGTCGGGCTCACGTGCGCAATTACATATCCGACAACGTTAACCATGGAACGAAGTCGATGCCATTGTTGTGTTTCAGTCAGCAATTACGTACGTGGTTATGGTTTCATCATCTCTGATCTTCCCGTTGTAACCTATGCATAAACTTAATTCACGTGTTGCTGACTGTTGATAGATATGGTTGATTTGATTTAATTTGGAGCCTTTAAATCAACCCGGAAAGTACTCCATAGCTAAAAAAAAAAAAAAAAGTATACCACCTGGGAGCAACTCCTGACTTGACTGACTATTAATTTGATCATTATAAAGTTATAAGTTCAACTCTTAACGAGAATAGCTTATTAATCTTTTTGGTTTGAATCGATCAACTATGAGTAGCCAGACTGGTTTACTTTCTTGAAATTCTTTAGTGACTAGGGTCACAAAGCGGAGTTTATTTTTTATTGGGTGAGAGACCCGTCGTGCCCGGTGGAGTAAATAGGGTTTAGGGTTTGAGTTGATCAGCTATAAGTAGCCAAACATGTTTCTCGCTTTAAGTACTCGAGAGGTCGGCCGATCGACCTGCTCACTCAAAAGGGCTAAATGACACATTGACGCTTAGGGGTGTGCAAACTTTGATAAAAGTTCGGTTAACCGATTTGAACCGAAAATTTTCAATATTTGGTTAATGGTTGGATGTTTTGTAAAATTTCAGTTAATGGTTAATTCGGATTGAAACTATCAGTTAATTAACCGAATTAATTGAAATTTTAAATATATAAATAAATACATAAATAATGTTAAATTCCTAAAACTAAAATGAAATCCCTATGGACTAGGAATGTTTAGACTTTAAATTTTGGATTGAAGTTATGGATTTATTATTATAGGTATTGAGGTAGTTAGATTTACTATTATAGATTTATAGGTAATATTTTAAGTTTTAAAAATTTAGATTAATCGACTAATTAACCTTCGAAAAAAATTTTAATTCAATTAATTAGGTAATACGAAATTTGGTTCAATTAATTGTTAAAACTTTAAAAATTTTGATTAAAATGATTCGATTAACCAAATGCACAATCCTACCGACGCTTCAAAGGATTTATAATCTCTCTAGATTCTTGCTGACACCCTCAATCTCAAGGCAAATGGTCCAAAGCCAAGTGTAATCATTCTATTTGTTAATAGAATAACAATTTATGGCTAGCCAATCTATAAATACTACACTCCGTATACATTCAAAAAAAAGGTTCGGACTTAATTGATAATTGACTAAGTACATGTTTGGTTTGCTAGAAAATATTTTTTTTCATTTTTTAATTTAAAGAAAATTAGCTTTTTTTTTTTGTTTGGTTTATGGAATTTTTTTTTTTTTTTAAGAATGAAGAAAATATTTTCTATTTGGTCCCTTTTGGTATTTTGTTTTTCATAGAAAATGTTTTTCATGAAAAACAAGTAGGCCAATTATGCTATCACCAACTTTTCTTAATTACTATTATTATTGTTGTTGTTATTATTGTGTAGGGGTATAATTTTCTTTATACTCATTATTTTTTACCATTTCAAACTCAACCAAACAATGGAATTAACATTCCTAGTAATTTATTTTCCACAAACCAAATAATGTAATTAATCTTTCTGATAATTTTATTTTCATGAAATTTTAATTTCATTTTTCCTCAAAATATTTTTCGCAAACCAAACGGGCGTAAAGCTCTACTCTTGTATATATCCTCAAGTTGCCAACCAAGAATTTTTTTTTTTTTTTTAAATCTTAATCAATTCTCATGTCGATCATCTATTATGCTCATAACATAGTATACAATGGATGCTAAGGTTGTAATGCTTTAATTGATTGTGCCGATGTATTTAAAAGGTTATTGAATCCATAACTTTAAGGGCACTCACTTTGATCTGTCAAAGCATTTAAGAAGATGTAAATTATGGTAACTCAATAACTTAACAAATAGGATCAAATGTCAGTTATAAGTCCTACATGGTTGCCGTTAAAATTCACAAAAGGTTGTAATTAAATTACTATATTGTAGAATCATCGTTTTCGGGTATTTGGTCATCACATCCACCTTTAATCAAATACAATTAAAATTGAATTGAAGTTAGATCATTTTTTTATTTATTTTTTTGAAAGCTAGTTAGGTCATATTCTGATGACACGTGATAAAGGGCTTTGAATTTTGATTTTTGAAGTAGCTAGCTAGTAGCTACGCTCCTTGATCATGACTTGTATAGTTGTATTTAATTAGTCTGAAAACTACTAGAAATTCAACTTGCGTGATTTATTTAATTATTACACCAATCTATTTACACTGTATCAAATTGATGGGTACACTCAAATAATTATACCACGGAGTACGATATATTTCATGCATTAATAATATAATAAAGGGACGAAGAGGGCCAGCTCAAGTGTCAAATGAACTCTCTTTGTGGGGGAGAATTTTGGGATAACCCGGGTTTGATTCCCACAAGTGACGATTCCCTTTGGGCCAGCTTTTGTGCCTTTTGGAGCGAATCGGGTGGACCTGGACCGTTAAACAGACAGAGAAAGACCCGGACCACAATGTATGGTTTCCAAAAAAAATATATAATAAACATTAATTATAAGACTTTTAAATTAAGCAGATCAAATATCATTAAGAAAAAGAAAAAAAAGATGTATCTATTCAACACCATAATTTTAGTGGGGCTTGATTGGATGAGGAATGTGTTGTCTGTGTTATTCATCATACTAAATTCTACAAGAGTATATGAATACATTAATATGAGTCCTATCACAATATAACTACTCACAACTAATAGACTCCTAACACTCTCCCTCAAGCTTAAGGTGGGCAGTCAATTACATTGAGCTTGCCACGAAGAAACATGAACTGTGGACTAGGTAGCGGTTTTGTGAAGACATCCGATCCGCCACTTGATCTTTAGTGAAAATAGAATGCACCTGTAACTCCTTCTTAGCCATCTTGTCACGAACAAAATGGTAATCGATTTCCACGTGCTTCATTCTAGCATGAAACACAGGATTGGCACAAAGATACGTGACCCCTAAATTATCACACCAAAGAGAAGGCACCACCGCCATACCGACCCCAAGCTCACGGAGCAAAGAAACCAGCCACGTAACCTCTGCAAAGACATCAGCAAGGCCTTTGTACTCAGCCTCAGTGGATGACCGAGCCACAGTGCATTGCTTCCGACAGGCCCAGGAAATCAGATTGTTGCCAAGAAAACCCGCAAACCCGCAAGTGGACTTCCTATCATCCGGATCGCCAGTCCAGTCCGAATCTGAGAATCCATGAACCGCAACTGAAGAAATCTTACGGATATGCAAATCGAAGTGAATAGTCCCTTTAATATAACGCAAAACGCGTTTGAGCATGGCCTAGTGTTCAGTGGTGGGAGAGTGCATGTGCTGACAAAGCCTATTCACCGCATAGGAGAGATCCGGTCTCGTAACGGTAAGATACTGCAGCACCCCAGCAAGACTCCGATATTGCGTGGGATCCGCATAAGGAGTCGGAACATCCGTAGAGGGCCGAGTAAGAGAAACCGGAGTAACTAGAGGCTTATAGTCAACCATATTTGCACGTTTCAGAATATCCTGCATATAGCGTCGCTGACACAGAAGCAAGCCATCATTCCACGGGACCTTTTCTATGCCAATAAAGAAAGACGGAACCCCCATGTCACGAATCTTAAATTCAGATGCCAACTCCGCAAGAAAACGCGTAACACGAGAACCATCAGAACCCATGACCAGAATGCCATCCACATACACAAGGAGGTACAGGCAAACAGAATCACGTGTATAGATAAATAACGAAACATCAGTTTTTTATGGAGAAAAATCGACCGAAACCAAGAAAGAATAGGAAGGAGGAGACCGATGCAAACGAAAGTGAGGGCTTTCATTATTTTGGACACGGGTAGGCATTTTATTGATGAGATAGACCGCAGTCTCAAACGCATAATCTCAAAAGCGTTGCGGAACCGAAGCCTGAGCCAGTAAGGCCAGATCAGTTTCCACAACATGACGATGTCTACGCTCTACCTGACCATTTTGCTCGTGAGTATAAGCACACGATTGCCTATGATTGATACCGAGAGAGACAAACGTGTTATGTAAATGCTTGTACTCTCCCCCTAAATCAGACTGAACAGAAATAATCTTTTGTCCAAATGAACATTCAACAAGTGACCGAAACTGATCAAATATGACATACAAGTCTGTTTTGGCACTCATGGGATAGAATCAAATAAAACGAGTATAGTCATCGACAAATAACACAAAATAGCGAAATCCATTAACAGAAAGTAATGGCGCTGGGCCCCACATATCAGTATAAACAAGCTCTAAGACACGAGTAGTAGTAGTCTCACCACGGGGAAGGGAAAACCGAGAGGATTTACCCAACATACATGCACGACACAAAATAGAACTATCACTAATACTAGAATTAAGCGAACAAGCATTTAAAATCTGACGAAGAACATGAGAATGCGGGTGACCCAGCCGACCATGCCAAACGGACGAAAAAGCACGAGAGGCCACTAGCGCAGCATGACTCTGGCGAGACATAGGCCAAGAATAGAGACCCCCGGACGCATGACCCTTATAGAGGACCTCCTTGGTTAAACGATCCTTCACAAAGAAACGTTCAGGGTGAAACTCAAAATAAGCATTATTGTCCCTAGCAAAACGCTGAACAGACAACAAAGACGCAAATAACCCAGGAACATAAAGAACATCAGACAACCGAAACAATTTAGTAGGAGAAGCTACCGAAGTAGACCCAGTACTAGCAGTAGTTAAGCATTTACCGTCACTGACACGAAGAGTGTCCGAACCAGCATATGAAGCGGCAGAAGTCATCAGCGATGGGACCGAGGTGGCATGATTAGACGCACCAATGTTGGAAACCACTATTTGGCACCAATGGAAGTCGCATCATCCACTGAATGTGCGACATTAGCCCGAGGCCCAGGGGCACCGTCATATCGCAGAAAGTAGGAGGCAGTGGAGTGACCATTGACACCACAGATCTGACACTGGGCACCGCCTCCTCAACCACAGCTGTGACCCTTTCCACGACGATTGTGATTATTACTGCCACGCTGCCCTCCAAAGCGACCGCCTCGCTGAGCCGCCATAGCCACCGGAGGAACAACAACCCCAGCACCATCGTTGGCACATATGAATGCCTGAGAAACCAGAAAGTCCGACAGCTCGCTCAACGACACCGAACCTCCTCTTTCCAACGACGCCACCAGAGGTCGGTATTCAAACCGGGGGCCACGGAAAATATACATGTTCTGGTCCTCGAGAGTAATCGGACGACTAGCCAGCGCTAAGTCTTCGATGAGAACCTGCGCACGACCAAGATAGTCAAGAATAGAGGCATCGCCTTGCCGCAATGCTTGCAACTCACCAACTAGGCCAAGAGCGCGAGTCCGAGTCGTCGATCCAAGATTCTGTTCGATCGAAAACCAGAGCTACCGGGAAGACGTCCAACCAACTGCTAGGTGCATCATCTCCTCAGATAGGGAGGAAATAAGGAGATAAAGTACAACCTTGTCCTGACGAAACCAAGCGGCACAAGCAACAGCAGTTGGAGAGACAGAAACTGCAGTGATCGCTCCGGCATCAGCCGGGACAACCGGCGACTCCACCCGATGGACACGACGTACTCCCGTCAACAAAACCTAATAACCCTTGACCATCAAGAAAGGGCAGAAGCTGAGTTCGTAAAAAAAGGTAGTTCCGAGACGCCAATTTGATTGAAACAAAATGATGCGCGGAAGAGAACGAGACACCCGAATGCAACGGAGCCGCAAGAGCAGCCTCGGAGACAGTCCGTTCGGACGAATTGCCGACAGAGCCATCATCAGAACCGAGCGTTGCCATTAGAGAAAGAGGTGATCGTAACTTGCTGATACCAGATGAGGACATGACATGCTTTTGTGTAAAATAATTTTTTTTTCTTTACTTACATGTCTTGTAAGCTTTCTTTTGAAAATGACACAAAAAAAATAATAATAGTAATAAAATCCTAAATGGCAACAACTTTCCTTTTTTTTTTTAATACTTTTATTATTATATTCATTTATTTATTTATTGAAAGTGGGAGTGTTTTTTTAAAGTGAGAATATTGCAGGAATGTTGAAAAACTAATGAAGGAATTACAAATTTGATGATGTGAAAGTAATCAAGTATGGCCTACTTTTAAAAGTGAAAGAGTATTGTAGGGATAAAGACACATTTAAGAGCAAGCCCAATAGGTATAATTTTTAAGAAGATTTTGTCAAATTACAAGAAAAGAAAAGCGTGAGAAAAAAAAAATGATTGTCAATCAAAAAAAAAAAAAGAAAAGAAAAGAAAAGAAAAGAAATAATTACGCACCCATATGGCGCGCGCACCACAATGCGCATCACACAAATAAATTTGTCTCTTTTTTTCTTCATTCTCCCTTCAAGAGTGCCCCACAAAAAACCAAATTTATGCAAAATCAATTTTTTTTTCTCTTTCATACACCCTCTCTCCTCCATCTCACATTAAGATTCAAATGAGAATAAAGTATTTTATAAAAAAAATGATGATTAATTACAACTGCCCATAAAGGTTCAAGAGAGAGAGGAAGGATATTAAATCATATGGAAATTCAGAAAAAAACTAAGAATCAATCTCAACCTTACATTTAAAAAAATTGAATGAATCAAATCTGATATTTTCTTTTAAAAAAAAATGAATGCAATGACATCTTCCTAATACTAGGAATCCCTGCAAGTTATACTCTTAGAATTCTCTGACGTAAATAGTAACTTCATTCATATTGGTGTTCAGGAGGCTCCTTTATTGTTCCCCTCATTTTCTAAAACATTTTATTTAAAACATATTATTTTACTTTATTTTAAATATTAATGTGTTTATAAAAGATAGTTAAAATGATATTTTGAATTAAATTTTATTTAATTGTTATTTTTATTATTAAAAATAATAATTTTATTCATATGTAATTATTATATAAGTAATAAATTATTGTTATAAAATATATATTTATGTTCTCAAAAATAATTTCACATGTTATTTGTTAATTTTATAAAATATTTTTCTATAAACTATTAATATTATCAGCTGATCAACCTAATTAACATAATTAGTTAACAACTAACTCCTAACCTAATCGTTAGCAACTAATCATTAATTATTAACTTTCAAAAATCTTCGGAAATTTTAAAAAATCTTACGGTGGCCGCATGTCTTGTGAAAATAAGGCATATTCCATTTTTCAAACAATTTCCTGTCCAGTGTTGACTTGTATAATTACAGTTCCTGTTGCTTAGGGTTTACGTTAAATCAGAATATTTAATCTACACAATTCTTCAAAAGGACAGACTGTATTACAAATTTACAATAGTCTCAATAAAAAGTAGTGTCTTTCATTCTCTTTTTTTTTTTTTTTTTTTTTTTTTTTTTAATTTTAAGGGGTGTTGTAGTAATAATAATAATAATAATAATAATAATAATAATAATAATAATAATAATAATAATAATAATAATAATAATAATAATAATATAATAATAATAATAATAATAAAATATAAATAAATAAATAAAAATTAAGAAAATATATATATGAACAAATACTACAATGTAATAGAGTCACTATTACTAAAATAAATAAATAAATAAAAATTGGGTGGCTAATGGCTAGGCAGGTTGTTAGAACATCGTACAAGACCATTTACTTGAGATCTTGAAATGTCCCTTTTAAGGATTTGTTGTAGGTGATGACTGAGCCAATATTTATGTTAGTTGTGCAAGTTGGCGTTCTTGCCAGCATGATATCAGGAGATTTTAATTGACTCCAAGTACTTTCTTGAAGATGCAATATATAAAATTATTCTGAATATTTTAAACTTTTAGTTTAGACCAATTATCATATCCAATATTAGGTGTAGGCGTTTCAATATCCAATGTGATTTTTTTTTTTTTATTGGTTTAGGTTTGCTCTTTTTTAAAAAAATGAAACAATTCGCTTTAACATTGTGGTTCGGTTTCAGGTTGAAAAAGTTCAATTTAATTCAATTAAGGAATCCAATTCTAATGGTATCCGGGTTGGACTTCCATTTGGAAGATTATGAGTTCGAGCCTCAGTGGAGGCGTTATGAGTTCGAGCCTCAGTGGAGGCGTTATTGGTTCTTTGTGTTTCAGTAGGTTGAGAAAGTATATGAACAGATACTACAATGTAATAGGGCCAGTAACATTTAAAAAAAAAAAAAAGGAATCCAATTCTAAACATTTCATAGTTTTTTTAGTGCAAACATCCATTCAAAATAAACCATATAAGCTGAAAACTACACCATGTTCCATTCAAAACACAAAAATTTCATAATTGGCAGTCATTTCATTGTCTAATTATATAGGTTCAAACCAAATCTCAGTATATGTTTCATTAAACCCAACAACAACAAAGCAACCGAATCCACAAAACTAAATAAACTTCTTATTCTAAAATTAATCAAAGAAGAAGAATACATTTACAATATATGCCCAAAGCAAGATTTATTGATCTCTTTATAGAAGCCAACAAGGAGAAAGGAGAAGTTCCGATCCCTATTGGCGTAATAAGTAAATAAATCATAAAAATGTACATGATAATATAATTGTTTTCTGACAAGAGAATCATCACTCAATTGTGGAGTCATGAAAAGCAAACTAGCATAATGGCAAGACAAAATCACCAATCATATATA